CACATTTTGCCACTCGGATCTCGTCTTCTGAGTATGGTTTGTGTATGTGGGTTTGAGTATATGAATACATGTGTGTGCATTTTTTAAATGTTTGACTAACTCTGTATACCCTTGAAGTGTTTTACATACGTTGCCCATTAAACTCTTTCTTCAAGGTTAGATGATGTCAGCAGGACAAGTGATCTAGTTATTCCCATTTGTCAGATAAGGAACTTGAGGCCTGGCACATTCTGTCCCAGGCCTTGTTCCTCTCAGTGGCAGAAGGGGAAGAGAGGAAAACCAAATGTTGTTAAGGGTCCATGGAGGCCAAGGGCTCTCTCTACATCATTTCATTTCATCTGCCCCAGCATCCTGGGAGGGAGGCGCTGTTACCCCATCTTACACTGGAGGACGCTGAGACTCAGAGAGTCAGAGTCACCTGCCCGGAGTGTCGGAGCCAGAACTCAACACCAGGGCCCCCGGAGCCCAACGCTGAGGTCTGGGGTGGTTGTGAACGTCCGCAGTGGGACCAACTTTGTGCCAGGCACTGGGTGAGTCCTTTCTCAAAATATCAATCCTAACAATCTAGGATCAATCCTAGCTTTCTGAGCCTTCGCATGCACCAGGCGAGGGCTGAGATCTGCCCGTGCAGGACTCCGGTGGACAAGGAATGTGTCCAGCTCGTCTCCGAGTCCTCACGTGGCACAGAGCTGGGCCTCCTTGTTGACGTGAAGCGTCCACCCCAGCCCTGTCCTTTCCTAGGCCCCTCCTTTCATTCCTTCGGTGTAAACTGAAGGTCAGTGTGGGCTCTTGGATAACAAGTCCCCTGGACTGCTACTCACATCCTGAATGACCCAGGCACACCTTGCAGGGGAAGTCAGAGCCCCCCTCAACCAGCTCTCTGCACCCAAGAAACCATGTCAGCTCCCAGGAGCGCCTCAAACTCTTCCACCTTGACCTATGCAGCTGCTGCCCACCTTTTCCAAGATTTCCACACAGCATGTCTTCTCTCACTGCCCTAAGGCATGATTTGATGATGATAAACATTTTCACATGAAGGCTTGGGTGTCTCTGAGTCATAATTCATTGCTTTGTTTCTGTGGTTTATCTATTTTTAAAAAAAAAAACTTAGAAGAGGGGGCCGGAGTGAGTGAGCGGATGGTGTGAGTAATCCCAGCCTCTCTCAGCTCTGGTGGAAAGATGAAAACGAGGGGTGGAGGCAGAGAGGGGGAGAGGCTGGGAGGGCCGGGCAGAGAAGAGAGAGCCTTGACCCCAGTTCCGGATAGGGAGGACTCGGGCTCCCAAGTCAGATAAGGCTGTAATCCAAACAAGGTTTATGTGCTCAGCTGCAGACTGTGGGAGCGTGGAGGCGGGAGAAGGGAAGCGTTCCAGCTGAGTGACCCATAACCAAAAACGGATGGCCTGTCCAAATCCTCCCCAAGCTTCAAGGCCCAGGTCAAGTGCCACCTCCTCCAGGTGGCCTGCCAGGACCACCACCCCAGCTAAGAGCTACCCTCTCTCCTCTGAACCTGACCTTGTCATTTATCCCTAGAGCTGGTCCCCATCACTACTTATTCTTCTCACCGCCCCGATGCTATCAGGAGCCCCAAGGGCAGAGAACCTGTTTTTACCATCTCTATATCTTCTGCGCAGGTGACACCCACACCAGTCCGCACTTTGGATGATGTTAGACTACACTTGTGTGCAGACCCACGGCTCCCAAGTCAGCATCGTGGACCAAGTTTCAGAAAATGGTACCGCGGAATAATCATACCACTTAACCTGGGCCTTGGCTTTTATACTGTACGACGCCCTTTCATAATCTTATCGGGTAGGTGGCAGGTGATCTGAAGCTCATTTTACAGTTAAGAAAGCTGAGGCTCAAAAGCAGTAGTGACTGCCCAGTGAGCAGTGAGTACACAGAAACAGCTCTGGATGCCAGGTGTCTGCCTACGTCCACATTTTCTGGGGAGAGTCTGGAGGTGTCCATCTCCTTCAAAGCACATGACACATGGTTCGGGGGACACTGCGTTGCTGCAGCTCACCCCCATCCAAGATGCACGGTGTGTCATAGCATAACCGAAGCGCTGAAGAAACCTTTTGCGTTTCGTTCAACACAACCTTCTCCAAACTTTCCTTTCCTGGACCCTTTGCATGGGACCTTTTGCGGGCGGGGGGCGGGGGGGGGGTGGTGTGGGGAGGGGTGTGTGTGAACCGCGCTCCCAGAACTGTATGTTACAGACTGAGAAAGGCTTCAGCTAGGTGAGCAAGGCTCTAACGGTGAAATGTCAGGGCTCAGCCAGCTCATAAGAACATTTCTTATTACTGTTTTTTTACCTGTTATTACTGAATGTTTCAAATATATAAAAATAGTAGAGCACCATAAATCCCTACATAGCCATCACCAATCACCAAACTAGCTTCAACAATATTCAACGGTCTGTATTTGCTTCTCCCACCCTCTTCTTTCTGAAATACTTTAAGGAAAATCCGAGATAGCATATCATGTCCTCTGCAAATGCTACTTCAGTAGTAACACCGCCACAATATCACGCCCCCTAAAAACATTAGCAATGATTCCTGAATAACGAACACCCCGCCTCCTCGATTCTCTCATGCCTGCCCTTCTACAGCAGCCAGGCTTGAATCAGGACTCACACCAGCCCCACAGAGCGCTCTTAAAAGGCTCTTAAAAGTCTGCTAGTCTAGAACGACTCCCTCTCCCCCACCCTTTTACTCCCCCCTCGCCACCCTGTCAGAGAAGTTCGGAGCTGCGCGTGGTCTGGGTTTGGGGATGACCCCCGTGGCGGAGTTTCACATGTTCCTGCAGTCCCTGCACAAGGTGGTGGTTAGATCTACGGGCTCGGACACGTTGCGGCTCAGCTTTACGGCAAGAAAACATCGGGAGTGGTGTTGTGTCTTTCCTATTATGTCCCCCCTCGCTGTCCAACTGCAGCAAAGCTAATATTGATCCCTGGCTTTGGATAGAGGGGCACATCCTTTTCGAGCAACCGGGTCCTCCCGGTGTCGCCACAGTTCTGTCACATGCTAGAATTGGGTCCTAGAGTCATCTCTGACCCAGGATTTTCCCATTTTCTATGATTTTATGGAAGGGTCTCTCCTACCATCGAGCTCCAAAATTCTACCACCTGTCCTTTCCTAGGCTGTCTCTAAGCGACCCTCTACCTTTCCTCTTTTTTCCTTTAAGGAAAAGACATTTTTAAATGGACAGACAAGCTGGGAGCCTGTGTTCCCTTCAGGTCAGGGCCTACCAGTGACGCCGGGGGCTTAGGGGTCCCAGGGTCTCAGCCTGTGGATTTCCCCAGCCACCTCTCAGAGGAGTCAGAATCTCAAGGAGAACAGGAACACATAGTTCAACACCATAAATATGCATCCAAAAGTTTTAAAAACCAAATTACACAAATCAAGCTTATTCTGAGAGGTTCGTCTGCCAGGGGTCTCTAGTGCTCCAATCAGCATAATTAAATAGTACGATAGCTCTAGAATTGATTGTGGTTTTCACGTTGTTTTTTTTTTTTTTTTTTTTTTTTTACCACCCAAAGGCCATTTCAGCGAGATAATTTTAAGCTAATAAGAACCCCCAAATTAGAAACGAATTAAAGAGATGGAAAATACAAATGTATTTGTTTTTAGTCAGGCACTATTTTTATCAGAGGAATCATGAAAAATTAAAATTGTTAAATAGTCACAGGAAGGTTGTCAGTCAAGGGCAATGTGCCTTTCCACCTCTCCCTGCTGCAGCATTTTAAGGTGACAGATCAGAGGCCGTTCCCCCGAGGGCCCCCAGGAAGCAATAAAGAGACTCAGAGCAGAATTACGCAGCGCGGGCTTGGCACGGAAAGGGCGTCGCCATGTAACACTCTCAAATCTTTGGAGATTAAGATTCATAACGCCTCTTGCTTTTCAAATAAATGCAGGCAGACCCAGCAACAGGATGCAATCATTGCAGTACTTCTCATGCCCATTTCATAGACGAGACCCTGAAGGCCTGGGCAAGGTGAGAGTTCTGCATGGGGTCACAGCGCAAGCTGGGAAGGAGCCAGAATTACATCTCTTATCTAAATGTGCTTGGTTCTAATATAAAAACAAAACAAAAAAAAACAAATGTAAAAAATCAAAAGAAAAAAAAAGAAATAAATATGCTTGGTTCTGTAAAACCCTCTCCTCACCGTTCCCCAATTACTTCATAAATTGGTTTCTTAAATAGATGTTGTCATAATGACACTGGTTTGTAGGACTCTCTTAGGATTCGTGACAGCCTTAAGTGCTCCGGCCCCAGGAACCGGGAGCCAGCTGCTCCAACGTGAGGAACCCCAGTCTAGAGAGGCAGCAGCACAGGGACCCACAGATCATGACGGTGAGCACCCAAGGACCCCTGACCCAGCCACACTCATGTCATGTTGATCCAGCCTTAAAGACACCATTTCGGCCCCTGAGCCTGCAGAACTTCCATTCATTCTGTAGATTTTGCACTGACTCCAGTGCAGCTGACACCGAAGTCAGCTTTACATCACTGACTTGTACTGCCTTCCCCTGCTCCCTCCACACCAGGCCCTGAGGACGTGGCGTCTGCCTGCACACACTCCCTTCAAACCTCCTTCCCTATCGAGGAATCCTCACCACACCCAGGCCAGGTCAGAGAGAAGGACCCACGGAACTTCCGTAGATGGCTGCCCCGCTCCCCTCAGGCCCAGAAGGGTGAATTATGAATTTTTACGATAATCTGGGTGGATTCCAAACCCAGGTGTCAGGAAAACATCCCCAGAGGAGAACAGGAGACAGGGGCTAATTCCAAGGTGGCCCCTGGGGGAGAGGGTCACCCAGAGGGAGCACCAGCCCAGGCTGCAGCGAGGACAGAGCTGGTGGGCCAGCCCGCCACGTGATGCTGAGTGCAAGGGCGTCTGGAGAACCAGCCCAGCTTCCGGCCCAGAAAACAGCCCCAGGTAGGGAATTAAGAGTCTCAATAACATTTCATAACTTTACAAAGGACTTTCACATACCCGATCTCACTTGAGTCTCAGAAACACCCCCGGAAGGCAGAAATTATGTAATTCATTCTTTGGAGTGGGCTGGGCATAGGAGAACTTGATTTTGTGGAGTGCCGACCCTGAGCCTATGTGAATAAACATACACAGCAATTACTTTCTGCTGCTGTTGGGGGCCAGTGGCTGGAGCAGTTGTCATTCACAGAAAAATAAAAAATGTACTTCCCCACGCCCAGAAAGAACAGCCATATTCTGTGACAAAGGGCTCCCTGGCCCTAAGGGGGAATTTCTTGCATTGTTATGATGAGGCAAAGAAAGGGGGCAGGTAAGGTAAGGAGGGGACTTTTTTCCAGAAGAAAGAAGGTCCGCGGATAGGATCCCTGGGCTGGGTCCCAAGATGCCTTAGGACAGGTGATAAGCCTGGAGTGGCTGACAACCCCCACTCCACAGGAGCACAGAGCCTTGGTGGTGTCCCACCTTAAGGTGCGGGCTTGGGGGGTGGGGGGTAGCATTCCGTATGGCAGAGCTGACATAGAGACACAAGCTGCCTGCAGGGCTTGGCTCCTCCAGATGACCAGGTCTGAATAAGGAGGGGCCACAGGCAGCTGCCACTATCCTGGGCCAAGGTCCAAGCCTCACCCCTCCCCATCTGTCCTGACCCAAAAGCACCATGTCCTCAAACAGCAGAAGGCTGCAGAGGAAGCACTAGACATACCTATTAGGAAAAGTTTACCGATTAGCCAGTAGGGGAACTCAAATGGGCTTTCATTGGATTTAGAAAAATAAAAAGGCACCAAGCAATTATTCATTATTTGATTTAGTCTCGATAGTTACCCAACAAGATAGAAACGACTAGTCCCACTTTGAATGAAGCTTCTGAGACCCAGAGAGTCTGAGGAGCTGCCTGCGGTCAGCGCCAGGACCAGCACAGGTGGCAGCGCTCTGAGCCCAGGAGGTGAGACGCAGCCAGGGCTGGTTCCAGAAAACACATCACCATCTAGAACAGCGGTTCTTAACCTAGGGATCGCGACCCCTTTGGCGGTCGAACGACCCTTTCACAGGGGTCGCCTAAGACCATCCTGCATATCAGATATTTACATTATGATTCATAACAGTAGCAACATTACAGTTATGAAGTAGCAACGAAAATGATTTTATGGTTGGGTCACAACATGAGGAACTGTATTTAAAGGGCCAGAAGGTTGAGAACCACTGATCTAGAACAAGTGATTCAACGCATCTCTCCTCATTCAAGCCAGTTTCCCCAGGGATTCACTCCAGCTGTGCCACAAGAAGAGGCCATAATAGTAAATCCTGCTGCTCAGCTCAGGGTTCACCCCGCTTCCGGACTCCCCTTGGCAAGATATTCCAGATTCTAGTCTAGATCGGGGACCTGAGCTGTCCAGTAGAGCTGCCACTAGCACACAGAGCTAATGAGCACTTGGAACGTGGCTGGTCCAAACTGAGATGTACACTCGGCGTCCAATACCCTCTGGACCTCAGAGACGAATGTAAACTATCGCTTATGATTTGTGTATTGGTTACAAGTTGCAAGGGTAATACTTGGACCAGGTTGAGCTAAATGAACCACATTATTACAAGGAATTTCACTTGCTGTGCTTACCTTTTTTCAGGTGGCTACTAGAAAATTACAAATAATGCGTGGCTCATGCTCAGCACCTCCTGGGCAGCGCTGCTCCCAGTGCCACGTCTCTGATGGGTGTTTCCCACCTCCCCCTGCCCCACTCCTAAGAACCGCACTGCAAGCCGGGGAGGCAAGCCTCCCAAACATTCCGACAATTCGTCTCTTCTGGACTCTTCTGGAAATTCCTGGTCTCCGTCCTCCCACCCACACTCAGTGTCCATGAAGAACCTCCAGCCCAGTAACTGCCAGGGGAGTCATGTGAAGTGCAGGCACCAGTTCTGAGTGTTCGGATCCACCTGAAACCACACTGTCCACGGCCAGGGGAAGTGTCATAAGCAGGTGTTCATGCCCAGGTCTCACACCCTGTTAGCACCCGACGGCCTGGGAACTAGGGTGCGTTTCTCCCAGCCTCCTTTGCTCCCACCCCTGCCAGACTGTGAGCTCCTCCAAAGCAGAACACTGCAGGTAAACTAAATGCATTGATCGCTTGTGAGGGCACCGCTGCTGTGCCAAGTGATTTGCATGTTTTATTTTATTTTATTTTATAATTCTCTCACCCATCCTGTGAGTAAGTATTGGCCTGTTGTGAAGATAGGAGCCTGAAGCTCTCAGAGTCGTGGATCTGTCTCCATTCCCATGCTTTTTCCTCTGCCCCATACGTACCCCTCCCCACAGGCAGACATCCCTCAGGGATCTTCGCTTTTCTGGTACCTAGCACAGTGCCCAGTGCATAATAGGTATGCGGTAAATACTGGTAAACTAGGTTAAGAACCTTCTGATAGACCAAATCCTATGCTCTTTCTTGCCTTGATCAAGAAGTATGTTGCCCCTTACCTTCCTGGCCTCATGCATGATGAAGTCCTCACTCACCCACCTGCAGGACTGGGCCTTTCTTGTCTCCCCGTAACCTCCATCACCTCCCACCATGAAGCCCCACGGGGTCAGGAAGCCCCACGGGGTCAGGGAGCCCCACAGGGTCAGGCCTGCTCAGATCCCCAGTCAAGTCTGAGATGCACAGACCACCTGCCCCGCTGAGAGGAGGGGTCTGGGAGTGGCCCAGGGCCAGTACACTATTGTCTGGGGTACTGAGGAACACAGCTATCCCGGGCACCTGTGGAGCTGCCAGCTCCCTCGCTAAGCCCCTTTAGGTGTAACAAGTCCCCTGACTATCCTGGCTGGGTCCCTGGAACTCGATTCCCTGTCCATTTCCTCATATAGACAGGAGCCAAGCCCTGAGTCCGCCTAATGCCTGTAGCTCCTCCATTTCCTAGAGCTGGGCTCAGATTTCTGGATTCCTTCTTCATCTAATTCTTTCTGCCTGATTTAGAACAAGGCCACCCAGAAGTCTTAATACTCTGCCCCTCCCCACCCCTGGCCTCGACCCTGTGGACCCTGACCCTGGCCTGTGCTGGAAAGGAATTTGCCACACCCCCTCGGGCCTCCTGCCCCAGGTCATTGGCTCTCTCCCCCTGCCCTGGTCAGTTTCCCAAGGCCCCAAGCTATTTTTGCTCCCACCCCAGCCTGCCATTTTCCCGGTGGAAGTTGCCAGAGTGGCGCACTGTAAAACACACAGTAAAGACCAGAGGACCAATGGGACAGAGGTCATCTTTGGGGTATCCAGTCCCACTGTCCCCCATCCTTCCAGACTCAGGCCCTGCCTTCTTGGCTCTGGGGACCTGCTCAATGCCTCCTGTCTTAGCTGCCTTCCCACTGTGTCTGTCAGCTTCTCCCAGGCGCTCCAGACCCCTACTCATGACTTCCCCCAGCCACCCCTGATCATCGGCTCCTTGCCCTGGCATCCTTGCAGGGATGGAGGGAGCCACAAAGTCCCCCTTCCCTTTTTTTTTTTTTACAAGAAATACCGACCCATCGCTTCACTCTGTCATTTGAAAAATCTGAACCAATCGTCAGGCTTCCCACCCAGGGAGTCCCCAGTCCAGCCCTCAAGTATCACCAAGGCACGAAGAACTCCTGTGCCTATAGCTGCCTCTGCTCCCTGATTCCCTGCCACCAAATTCCCTGGTTCCCAGGGGAGCTGACGGGGAGTAATGACTTCTTGATTTGTTGCCCTGAGTTCTTCAAACAAGAGGTGTTACATACATCACGGCATCAGGCCTTCCCATTAGGCACAGGAAGCGAACCCACCTGATGCTAAATCTTCCGGGGCCTGGCTCCAGCAAGCACACGGGGCAGAAACTAATAACTGGGAAGCATCCATCTATCATCTTATCAGGCCTTACAAGGTTTGTTTGCATAGTTATCTTCCCAAGGGTTGACGTTTTATGTCTCCTGCAGGCTGATGTATTCTCCTACCTGTCATATCATTCAGGAAGAATAGATGAGCCGCAGGTTCATTACCTGTCATTACACCGTGTGCATGTCGCCAGGGGCCGAAGCATCCATTCTTCTTGTCTCCCGGCTGGTGCAGCCCCCCACTGACTTAGAGGCTCCGGGTCCAACGGGCTGTGGGTTACACGCTCTCCTCAGGCCCTGGGAGGGCTCCACGCCATCCCTTCCAGCTTTGCTGGCGGGCCCACTCCTCAGGGGTGGTGAGGCCTCCTGAGAGCCCAGCTGCCTCAGAGGGGACCTGCGGAAGAACGGAGGTCTCTGTTACCAGGGCCAAAGACACATGTCCAAGTTTTAACTGTTCTAGAACTTTCCAGCTATCTTCTCATTGCTCTTTATTATTAGGTCTTGCAATTCCTGGTGACTATGTGAATTCTACATCAGCCAGAGTCTTTCTTCACTGTCTATGTCCCACCCACCAACACAATCCCCAAGCCTCAGCCTGCATGTACACACACACACACACACACACACACACACACACACACCTGTATTCCTGTCTTCTTACCCTGCATATTTCTTATCTTCCTGAAAGACCCACCTTTACTCACTGATCCTAACCACCATTCAGAGTTTGGCTCATAACCACCAACAGAACCTCACTGCTCAGGAAAGAGGAAGGACTGGGGTGCTCTCCTCCACCAACGAGACCACAAAGAACAAGAACATGTCTACTGGGTACCGTCCTCAACTCTGGTAGCCCAGGTCCCTGGGGCAAGGCTTCTGGTGTGCTGTGGTTTGGGGGCTCCAGAAGGCCACCGACCTATGGCTGATGGAGAGCCTCATTTCATAGACCTTCACGCAGAGCGAGAGACAAGAGTGGAGGGTGCAGACCTCACCAGGTGAGGGACACAGACACTAGACACTGAGTGACCACATTTCACAGCCAAGACTGTGGCTCACACTATGGGGTGTGGGGGTGGGTGGTACGGGGCTCCAGCTAGAAGCAGCCCTGCCCTGTTGTAGAGGTCTGCTCAGCCCTGCACCTCTGACCAGGCACAGGCTCCAGCAACTAGGGAGGGGAGGGAAGGGCTCCTGCTGTCTCATGCCTGTGACCCTGAGCTCCACGCAAATCTCAGGCTCCTAACCTTAACCCTAACCCTGCTGAGAAGGGGCTGTAGCAGGTGGACAGCTCTGCCAGGGCACCCAGCACTGTAGATAAGAGGAAGCACCATGGACAGGGGTGGGGGTGGGGAAGGAAGGCAGGCACAGGAAGTCCCATGGATTTTGTAAACACAAGGATGGCCATGTCTTACAACACCTATAATGGTTTATACCCTTCAAGCTGTGTTTGCATCCATTGGAATATAAAGGGGTATTTTAAAGATGAGACAACAGAAGCACAGAATCTCACTAAAGGTCACACAGTAAGTTAATGAAAGAGTCAAGACTGGAATTCTTGATTCCCAATTATCATTCTTTCCATCAAGTTCCATGATCCTAGGGTAATTTCATGTCCCCTCTGGGGTGTGGCCAGCCAATAGGAGTGGGAAGGCGGGGACAGAGACAGGCTTGGCCTGCGATGGGGGGATGGGGAGAAGAGCACAAACATGCCTTTGGTTCCTCCCCTGACAGGAGAGTCTAGGAGGAGAAAGCACAGAGAGAACAAGTGATAAATAGGGAAGACAGGGCTGTGGAGGCTCCCAGCCGCCAGGAGCAGCCCGGGCAGAGGAAACTGGCAGTGACAAATAGCCATGCTTCGGGCCTGTGCTGACCTTGAGCCCCCTGGGTGGCCTGGCTCCCAGTGGCTCTGGTGTCCGAGGCATTTCTGGGCAAGGCAGCACTGGGGCTTAGAAGTCCCTTTGAAAGAACAAAGAAATTATTACTATTACCTTCAAAAAGCACATGTATGTGCCAATGCTCTTTTGTATATATGACTTATTTCTAAATAATAAAAATGGGGGGCGGAAGGGGGGGGACCATGCAGTTCCACCCGTATACGTGAAGAAAGATCTCGGCTGCCCCTGGCAGTGGGATTCTCTGCTGGATTCCAAAGCAGCTCTGCTTCTACTGACACAGAGGAAGTCCCAACCGAGGAAATTCCTACCAGGCGAGGGGAGGCAGAGTCTCCCCACACGCCCACCTCCAGCCAACAGAGGACCAGACCTCAGAGCATCAGGCCACAGGAAGAAGAGAAAGGCACCTCCTGGTGTCAGCACTCTGTGTCCCGGACAGCCCCAGGGGCCTCATTCATCCTTGCAGATCTTAGTGGGCCTACTGTGTGCACCGGGTGCCATGCAGGAGGGAGACCATGCTGCACCCTTTAGAAGCCGGCCTCCAGCCGACCCCACTGGCTGCAGGTCACCTGGTGGCAGCTCCTGAAGCCAGCCTCCGGAGCACATCCGTTTTTGCTGGGGGTGGGGAGGGTGAGAATAGGAGCCCTCGAGCCCTCCTGCAAGGTGGGGCTGAAACATATTCACAGCAGATGGTGCTGTCGCCCTCACTCCGGGATTCTCATTCCTAATTATCTGTGCTGTCAGCAAAACAATTAACCCTCGAAGAAAAATTGCACCGTCCACTCCCAACCACATGAAAAGGCAATTTTTTCCCAAGGACGAGGGACACTTAGGGCAGCGGCACAGGGAAAATAGGGCGGCCTTGTGTTGGGTTCTGGATCTCACTCTCCCTGGGTGATTTCGCCACCCTCTAACCCCCAAGGTCGGCCACAGGCATTGCACCGCAGCCCCTCCCGCCTCTGAGCCTGCATTTCCTTTGCCATAAAAGGAGGGTGTGACTCTGATCCCTGGATTCCTGGGGTCCCCTTCAGGCCCACAAGCCCAGCTCTTTTCCTTCGAATTTAAGTTCCTTTAGAGCAGAGACTGAATTTCCATTTGTTCCCTCCTTCATTCATTCACTTACTTATTCATCTGTTCATTCACCCATCCATCCATCCATCCATCCACTCACTTGTTCTTCCATCCATCCATCCATCCATCCATCCATCCTGTTATTGTGTATTTACCATGTTTCTCCCAGGTGGTACAAAGAAAATATTTATTCGCCCTTCTTGACCACTACTTGAGCTTTCTTCCTCTGGGATGTGGGGAGAGGAGGGAAGGAGGGGGCAGGAAGGTGGGGGCTGCCAGGGGCTTGAGGACTTGACGCTCGCTTGGCATAAGGCCTAGGAGGGAAGTCCTGATGCTGCATTTGGATTCTCTCTGAAGATTCGGCTGCAGGAAGGCAGCCTCCGCTACAGAGAGCTGAATTTGATGAGCAAGCCCTGCGGTCCCCGGGGCAGGCCTGCAGAGGTGGAGATGTGCGGTATAAGGAGAGCTGAAAGCTCCTAACAGCCACCGTGGGCGGGCGAGTGACAGCACAGGGCTGCACCTCGCAGGTCCTCACGAACTATGGAGGCCTGAGTGAATGGAAGGGCTAAGGCATGATGCCTGTCACCCAGGAGTCTCCTGCTTAAGGCTGGGATCATTTGGTCTCGTCCATCCGTCGTCGTGCACTGTCATGGAAAAGAAGGCAGGGTGAGCAAGGAATTGTAGAACCTTCTCTGTCAGAGCCTTCATGATGATGTCACCTGGGGCCATGTTTTGCAGGTGCCACCTGGAGAAGGTAAAGGGCTGGTGGCTCACAGATGGGGAGAGGTGGAAGAGACCCTGCCACAGGTGGCCCCACATCCAGGTCGCACCCTGTCTCACTCCACACCACCTCCTAGATTGCCCCTGGAGGACAGGAAAGAACAGGGCACTGTTGCTCCCCGCCCCCCCCCGCCCCGCCCCTGCAACTGGGGTGGGGCAGGCAGCTGGGACTGCTCTCCACCACCATTCTGACCAGTTCGAGCCACAGGGCATCTTCTTTGCCTCTCCCTGCCGCCCGTCTGGCTACCAGCACTGGCCTCAGTCAGTACCAGGAGCATCGGCTCAGATGCCAGCGCCTCGGTATAAAGGAGTGTGTTTATATTCAAAGTGGGCTGTTGCCCACTCAGAATCTGCCCACTCGAAGGCAGCACATGTGACCGCACCCCCTGCCCAGAGCCCAAGCGGGCCAGATGCCAACCTCTGGCTGGAGACATTTCCAAATATGAGCCTGGCACAAGGAGTCAGGTTCCCAGGCCTCCTCTGCCCTGGGAGACCCAGCCAGGATTTCTGAGGCTGCGGGAGGGTGAGGGCTGGGGGCAGGCGGGATCAGGAGGCAGCCAGCGGAGACAGCCACCAGCCCCGGATACACCACCTGCACCCCTCCCTGGCCTTCCAGCCTCATTAGGGAAGAGAAAGGATCACCTTGCACCCAGAAAGTCTAATAAATTTCCCGAAACCCTTGGCAGGGTGGACAGGAAGCCACTGCCTCCTCAAATGTGCATGGATTAAAAATACACAAATGGAATATTTTTTCTTCCCCTTTCCTCAACCCCCTGAAGCCTGGGATGCTTGTTAAAAATAGCCTTGCTGTGCACGGATCCTGCAAGACCCAACGCTGGCAGGAAAATTAAGGAGACATTGAAGACAGAGCTAAGTGGTTACCCCCAGGGAGTGGGCTGGGGACGGCCCGGAGGAGGGTTTTCAAGTGTTTCCGGACATACTTCTACACTGCTTGGATTTTTAACAACAAGCAGACATTATTTTAACTAGTTTGTTTTATGAAACGGAGGTTCATCCATTGCATCCTCCACCTAAACTTAAGCCTAAACTTGTACTAACCTGGCAACTCAACATTGCCCGGTGCTGGCTTGCCTGAAGGGGCAACAGATAAAAATACAGCCCAGAGTCAGGAAAGGAGCACTGAGTCCAGAGTCGGATCTGTAACTAGCTGGCTGTGTGACCTCAGACGAGTCACTTGAGTTCGCTGGGCTTCAATTTCCTTGCCTTTTAAATGAGGGAGTTGGATTAAATGCTAAACCAGGTACCTTCTGACATCCTAGCATTTCACAGAATATCTGAGACTTGGCCCATGTTTATGGGCAAAGGGAATGTGTCCAGAAAAACAGAGAGAAACATTGATATGAGAGAAACACATCAATTGGTTGCCTACTGCAGGAGCCCTGACCAGGGCCAGGGCCAGGGAGGAGGCGACCACCAAGGTACATGCCCTTGACCAGAATTGAACACGGGACCCTTTGGTCCACAAGCCAACGCTCTATCCACTGAGCCAAATCGGCTAGGGCCAGAGGTGGGGTTTTAAAGCAGGAGCTAGGTAGGAAGAAGAGTAGCTGTTTTGAGGGCAGAGACCAACTCCATACCTTGCTGATGGAGTTTGCAAGGTAGAAAGCACATCCCTCAGTACCCAAAATGCCCT